GGTCACTAACTGGTTGCATTCCTACTTTTCAAACAGAATGCAGTACACCGTATACAAAGGCCAATCCTCCTCTGCTGTGCTCACAGAAGCTGGTGTCCCCCAAGGTGCTGTACTCTCCCCACTTCTCTTTTCTTTCTTCCTACATGACCTACCGTCTTCAAATGACATTAACTTTGTCAAATATGCTGATGACCTAACTGTATCTTTACCTGTCAAATGTCAAAGTGACTGCTCTAAACTAAATGGCTTCTTATCGGAAATTAGCCAATGGTCCAAGGAAAACGGTCTAACCTTAAACCCCTCCAAATGCCAAACAGTTAATTTCACCCTTAGGCATAAATCTGACCTAAACAAACTGGTTAGCACTCACGAGGTGTGCAACATAGATGGCAGTGAAATAGAAACCAAGTCGGAAATTAAATACCTAGGCGTCACTCTATCTTCTGATCTTTCCTGGTCGTCTCATATCTTGACGATTTCCAAGAAAATATACCGTCTTACCTTCTACATCAAGAAGTTAAGACATTCTGGTGTAACCCAACCCTTACTCCTACAATTTGTTAACTCCCGTATTCTGCCTATTATTCTCTATTGCTCCCCCTTAGTCTTTCCTGGGCTATTGAAGAAAGACTATACCTTATTACGTAGGATGTTAAAGGTTGTCAGCAGGGTAAGCAGTTTGCCACTTAGCCAGCTTGTTAATATTCTGGTGGACAGGCATATGGACTCATGTGAAAAATGGGCGAAATCCATTTTATCTGACTCACAACACCCTCTACATTCACAACTCTCCCCATGTATCTCTTCAGGGAAAACAAGAAGCCTATATAGGAAACTATATGCCCGCACTAGTAAGTACAAAAACTCATCCATACCCTACCTAGCCCGTGTTCTGTGCGATAAAGAATGCATCAGGCATGAAACCTTTAACTTATTAAATAGTCAGTAGAACCAATGGATTTCGTCTTTCCAACTCACATCATTTATAGGTACAACGTTTTCTCGCTCTTCATTCTGTATTTATTTTTGTTATGTGCTGTTTTGTTTCTCTCTTCCTTGCAAACTCTACTTAAAACATTCTTGTTCGTTCTTTCACACTCTGTATATCTCGACCATTTTGCTATCGCTTACGCCAGTAAATATGCTAGTAGTATCTACTTTTCTAACACCTTCAAACACTTTAATTTTGGCTTTGCTACCGACATACTAATATGTTGTTGAGATAACTTTAATCTATGTAGAACTTTATTTATTGTTAATGTAAAAAACTGGATGCAATATTGTAGTAAAATGCTGAGAATTCCATTCTGTATCACAAGTACTGATTTGGAATAAAGCTTATGTTATGTTATGTTAGAAAATAATCATTATCGTACCGCTGTTGTGAAGGCGGGGGAAAAACACAAAGTCTCGTCACGATAGTCCAAAGAAAATGGTTATTTCATACGCTTCAATACAGTCAGGTGAATCGCAGACAAACACACACGCTAGATGAAAGCACAGAATTTCTCGACAGTGTGTACTCGACAAGAATATTGCCTCAATATTACCAGCTATATACACTTAAACAGAAACCAGACTAGGCCAAAAACCCAAAGTACACACCAAGCGAGAGAAGTAGAAAAAACGAAGGATACTTATGAAAAGAAGGCTTTCGTTTGAATATCTATTTCAATGCATTCACAATACGTATAGGAGATATAATATAAGACGACAATCAGTATAAATGGGAGGAATCTGAAAGAGACAACCTCCTTCACCTATCTGGGAAGCATCGTTTCAACTACAGACGGAACTAACGAGGATATTAAAGCAAACATCGGAAAAGCAAGACAAGCTTTCATTACCCCTAAGCTTGTATGGAGGTCAACAGCACTCAGCATCAAAAATAACATCCGGATTTTCAACTTCAATGTGAAGTCAGTCAGTACTACTATACGGATCAGAGACCTGGCGCGTCATAAAGAGCATCTCAAACAAACTACAGACCTTCATTAGCAGCTATCTTCGCTCAACACTCAAGATCGGATGGCCAGAAAAGATGAGCAACAGAGATCTCTGGGAGAAAACCAACCAGGAACCGATTGTGAAACAAATAGGCAGGAAGAAATGGAGATGGATTGGCCATACTCTGAGAAAACAAACCATCAAGTGACATCACTAGACAAGCCATTGCTCGAGTGGAACCCGAAAGGGAAGCGGCGAGTTGGTTGTGCAAGGGTGACTTGGAGGAGGTCATGTGAAGAGAAGATGAAAGCATGTGTGCAGGCTTGGAGCGAGGTGAAAACTCTGGTAGAGAACCGGACGCAATGGAGACGAGCAGCTGAAGCCCTATGTTCCTCTAGAAATTAGAGTGTGAAATCAAGCTGTAATGAAAAATAAAATAAAATGAAAATTAACGGAAAGAATAACAATAATAATGCGGCTTTTACTTGGGACTCTAGATTTGTGTATCAGATTTCCAGACTTTTGATCAAGCCGGGGTTTGGGACCATAAAACTGCTTCCGTGAACAGGAAGTTGAGCACAAAGCAAACACTTCTTCCTAAAGGAGAAAGGTGTTGTTTGTGATCCACATCCCCATCATGGAAGAACACTGCGTCCGTGATTGAGGAGGGATGCTGTCAGTTATAACACGTGGGGTTCTTGACATGTTGGGGTAAAACCAGGGAAATGCTAGATCCCAACAGTTTATGATCAAAGGAGTTGTCTGAAGATGACATCTTTAGGCTTGCCAGTCAGTTGTTCAGCCGCTGAAGTCTCTGACTACAAAATATCGACAATTTGGTGTTCAGGAGCCTAGCTTCTCAACAAGGAAGTCATCTGCACCTCAGTCTGGACGGCTGTACACAGTAATGAAGTCGAAATCTTGGCCCATGCATTCAAGTTTGCAGTGTAGAAGTTCGCACGATTCACTTTCATGAGCGAGTGCTTCGATGCTATGCACAGTTGAGCATTTCTTGAGGCAGATGACTGCGCCAACTCCATTGCGGCTTAATCGGTCCCAATGCACTTCAAAGTTTGGCATGTAAACATCGTCATCAGTGATATCAGATGCGAACAATGTCACAGTGATGATAACAACACTGAATTTCTGGAGTCAGTCGTATTATCCAGCCTAGTCCGTTTTTTCAACGGGTTGCGGGCAGTTGTGTAGCAAACAATTAAATCAGTTTAGTGCTTCCGCAGCCTACCCACAGAGGTTTCGGGATCATAAACTTTGAGTTCCGACGACCCGAAAACCAATATTCTTAAGGTTTTTCTCGCCTTTTATGTGCCGTTCACTTAATTCGAGAGACATAGACTGTCTTTAGACGCGCTCATCCAGGCATAAGCTCGAACCTCTGAGAGTTTCGGTACCTGTCGTGTACCGTTTGCTTGTTCAAAGCGCGGTGATCGCCACATGGCCATATTTATCTGAAAGATTTTCAAGGGACCAAATGAAGTGGTGAAGGCCACGAGCTGCTAGATAGTCGGATGATTCCAAGCTCAAGCAGTTTGTTCAATTCCGTCTCTGCGATACATAGTCGTTGTGGATAGGGGAGTTGAGGCTGTTCGAAGACTTGTGGCCCAGTCGTTTTAACATGGTGAATCACATGATGCTTCAGTTCGGTTTCTCCGAAATAAGGTTGAAGAAGATCAAGGAACCAAATTTCAGGGTCATAATTTTGCGTGTGAAATCTTCCGGTGACAGTGTGTAGTTGACATTGATGTTCACGGATAGTACGAAGTTTACTACCGTGAGTTCTGTTACTCACAAATCCTGTAGTGTTTGTTCCGCGTAGACCAAAGGCGAAGAAAACACACAATAATTGATCGTCCAAATTACGAGATATATTTCGCGGCCAAATGATTGCTTGGCTGGCTAGGGATCGTGCACGAACAAGCGAAGGTGACACTACAGGGTACCAAATGGCGTGGATGCTTGACTGGAAGCCTCTACTCATATAAGTTGGCCCAAACAGTGAGGGTCAGCATCCACTATTCAGTGATGAATGCCGCGGCCAATAATTCTGGGGAAGTACCCGCCGCCAAAGTCTAAAGAAATTAAGTCTCCCCACACTCAGCTACTGTTAGCTTAGGAGGGACTGATAACTGCCTACAAGATAACAAATGACCAGAATCACCTAAACAAAGGTGTTCTGCCATAGAGTAGGCACGGGTTTCCTCTTGGAAATCATATAAGGGTAGCTCAGCCTAGGACAAAGACTTGGTTGCGTTCCCACTTCTTTTCGCAGCAGGTTTACCATCCCTGGAACTCCTCATCAGCAGATTTAACTACGCGCCGTCTGTGGGCATCTTTAGACAGCGGCTGGAAGACCATGCTTTGACACAAGGACTGCGTCCAAACGGCCCATCTTCTTAAAATCCCATACACCATTCAGGGGTGCACATCTAAATTTGTCGTTTCACTTCTTTACTTACTCTCGTGACCAGTCCAGCTACTACACTTATTATAATTACTATTGTTGACATTATGTATGCATATACATTTTTATATGTATATATATCAACTTCAGATTCAACTGGCAGTCTGTTTCCACGTTTTATTTTTTTTTGTCTTTTAGTCTGAATAATTTACACTAATTATATACGCTATTGTTATTATCTCTTTTCTCTTGACGACGATACTAGAGTAGTAACTGGAGGAAGGAACAACTCCATTTATAATAGCAACGAAGTCTTAACACACCGCATATTACAAAAAACATAATTAATCCTAGAACGACTTCTTTCGGAGTCAACCAAAGCTACGACATGCGTCGGTGGCATGGCGGTTAGGACGCTCGCCGACCATGCTGGTGGTCCCGGGTTCGATCCCCGGCCGACGCACTCCTTTACCTCGCTAAGCCGGAAATAATGCTGGTAAAGAGGAAAAGTTGAGCATGAGGCTAGCAACCTCATCTTGTAGAAATGAACACTGCTACAGAAAATTCAAGCCACTAGCTTGAAGCCCTATGTTCCACTGGGAACGTGAAGGAAGAAAAACGCTACGACAGACGAGTGTTGGGACAAACTACGCAGAAGATTACCGAAGACCAAGAACTCCTACCTCGCAATCAAGAAGTGAGCACAAAGAAATTAAATTGGCTTGTACCAGCTCGTAAAAACGATATTAGATTCAGGCCCGTTTTTAAAACTTGCGTTACAGCGTTTCAAAATCATGTAAGTCGGGTTGTTTCTTCGGAGTTTAGAATATAGCGGAGTACCGAAGCAGTGCTGGAGAAAGGTTTCACTAAAAGCACTTATCCTTGGTGACTCACTATCGTCTAGACTAGTTCAGACAGAGTTGTCTCAATAGGAAATAGGAACAAATTTTATTTTATTTTTTATTTTTGATTTACAGCTTGATTCCACACTGTATTTTTGGTACTAGTATGGAATTTTCAGCATGGATATCGGTAGCCCAAATTTTGCAGGCCGACCATAGATATCAGGTGTGCGCCGGCGTGGGCTCGAATCCCGGACCATGTGCATGGTCGGCGAGAGTCCTAACCACTGTGCCACCGACGCACTCAGTTGATCTATTGCCATGATTTTTAACTACATAAAATATGTTCTGCATTTATTCTATGAAATATGTCATGGAATACTGGTAGGCGAAGCACCTTAAAGTTCTATCTAGTCCACAACTTTTGACATAGCTGGAAGGTCATGGGGGCGCAAATACAAGCAAATATGTGTTGTGGATATGTCACGTTTACTTACGGTCGAAGTTCAGGAAGACTGAGTTAGCTCTTATTGCAGAACAAGCGGAATAACAGCATTTATTCCAACCTTTCCTTGGAAGAGAGGTGACTTAATTTTGGCTTACCGTATGCGGTAAGGTTTTATAGGGATTGACCTTTCACACCTGTTCTCTCCTTCTAGAATACATTTACGAGGTCACCACAAGAAGGTGCTCAAACCGAGGTCGAGTAAAATACGTTTGAAGTTTCGACTCTCTCACAGAGTAGTCAACGACTGGAACTCCTTACCCGATTCAGTAGTAACAGCTCCATCAGTGAACGCTTTCAAAGAGAAACTGGGTCTCTGCTGAGATATATGTCGCGAGGACTAACATAAGCAACAAGAGCCTTCTATCTTTTTAGTCTGAATCTAAATCTTGAAATTCAATAATTTCTAGTCTCAAGTAGTACTACTGATTGAGTTATACGGGCTGTAGCTGGAAAGTGGCAAACTTATGTGATTCCTTTCTTGCGTAATAACTGGGAATTCTGATTACTTAATGCTAACATGCAAAGAGTGGTTGCAGTTTTCGGTGTCAAAAAGCTATCGAACACTAAATTAATAGAACATAATAGATAGCATATAAACTTATTTCAAACAGCTAGTTTCCTTTATGAACCTTAACAAAATGATAGGAGTAGGTAACTTATACCAGTAGTGTAATGAAATTGAGGAGCTCATTTCGGACATTCTGATCACACATCCTTGTCATACAAATTAACATAAAAATAATGCGTTAGGTGTTGAAGTATAAAGGCTATATAAACAGTCAAAAGAACAATGGAGGTCAATATGTCTAAGAAGGAAGATAATAGTGTATGTGTCCCGTTATCAAAACAAAATTTATGAAGAAGGTTTAATGTAATGATGACTGACTAACTAGTTTCAACGTGGAGTTTTGCACAGATGTGCAACAGTTCGAGTCGTCACACTGCATCCATGTAGCATGCAAAGCATGAGAGGCAAGTAAAAATAGATTCGACACAGATAACAGACAGAGGTATGAAGCATAAATATTATAAATAAAAAGAAGTGTATCTATGCCATTGAGAGCGATTTTTCGAGCGACATCACCAATTGTCTCCACCGAGCATCCCAACCTGGAAGTCTACATCTCCAGACGTGGCTAGCTGAAACTCACTCTTGTGGATTTCATTGACTGATTTGGCCACCACCATTGGCTCTTTTCCAACCCGATCCATCGGTTTTCAGTCAACTAACATTGCCCATCGTTGAGGAAGGCGATGGCTAAGCATGCGTAACACTTATGCTAACCATCTCAATCGATATAACTTCACATCCCCGTCTGTTGATTTCCCCTCCCACCTATCTAGCATGACCTAAGCCTAATGCTCACCTCATTGTACTACTTCACACAGAAGATAGAACGCAGGCACCTATGTTCAAAGACAGCTAGCTGGTTTTTTGATGTCTTCCACTTTCTGTGTCCCTGTCTCATCCAGCCGTAAAGGAAGTGCAAACTGCTGAGCAGTACACGGGACTTTGGTCGACAGACAGCTGATCAATCTGCTGGCTTTGGCTGATGCAACTTCCCAAACGAGTGAGGTGGTAAACACGCTCAGCTCCGACTTCACTCCTTATTTCTAAGCTTGGTGTAAGTCAATGTAATCCAGTCTTGTAGGATCATCTTACATTTGACGGGAGTAAATCGCATGACAAAATTTCGCAAATTGCTGCTCCTTAGGGTGTTCAGAAGACTTTGCTGTAATGTGTCAGTGTCTTCACCTAGCAGGACTATATCGTCTACAGTTTCTAAGTCAGCGAGATTTTCCGTTGTTGGTAACTAGTCAGTCCCTGAGTCTCTGAAGTTAGCAGTTAGGGTTGATTCCATTTGTAAATCTGTGATGAAATTAAATAGAAATTGGGACAATGGGCGTCAATGGCGGACACAGTCACTCGCTACTACTTCAGATGACTACCTCCGTAAGGTCTTACCTGGCTTCATGTATTCGAGTACAGCACATTTTATAGATGGACTTATAAATATCAACTTTATACCCTTTGTCTATAATGTTTCGCAATGGAAGAGCTAAGTCGTCTGTTTTCACCCTAATATGTTTTGGGTGTTCAGTTTGCTTCAGCGATGTAACTGTGAAGCCCTTACTTGCAGAGTTCTCCATGTTTGATTGACCATATGTACATCTAAATTGAGCGATCCAATAAGATGTGATATCATTTTTCGTATGTCCTAAGGGTTTACTTAGATATACAAGTTTCACATTCTCAATTTTCTGGATCTTAGCTGCATAAAAAGAATCTTGACGACAGCGTTCAATCTTTGTTTAAGTATCAGACTTCTATGATGTCACCCATGTAAGGTAGCTGGATATCTACATCCTTTTAGCATAGTTGTTTAATGCATCTTGATACTCTGACCGCTCCTCAAGAACTCCTGTCTATTTTCAATCAAAATTTCTGTTAATATTCATTCGTCACATTCAAGGGTGTCTTCTGTGCATATCTGTAGGATTCTGCTGAAAAAAGGGATATAACTTAGGCGCGTTTTCCATGCTAAAAAAGTCAACCTGTGATAATATGCTATCCTATCCAGGTTGCTTTTCTACAAAAGTATGGTTGTGTTGGGAAAATACATTGCACTGATTACTCTACTCGTACTCATGCAGCCAGATGAGAGCTTACGGCGACTTGTCATCTGAAGTGGTGACGACCATTGGTGTCCGTCAGGGATGCCCATTATCCCCATTTCTATTCAACTTCATCATAGATGTGTTAATGGACTTAACCCTAAGTGACTTCAGTGACTCAGGAATTGACTTGCTACCGGGGAATAATCTCGTTGACTTGGAATATGCAGACGATATAGTCCTTCTAGGCGAGGACGCTGAAAAAATGCAGAGTCTTCTAAACACCTTGAGCAGCAATCTACGAATGTTTGGCACGAGATTCGCTTCTGCCAAATGCAAGATGATGTTACAGGACTGGACTACACCGGCTCCCAGATTAGAAATAGGAAGTGAAGTGGTAGAGCACGCTGACGCTTCACTTACTTGGGAAGTGCCATCAGCCCCAACGGGTTGATCGTTGACAAAATCTCAGAACGGATACAGAGGGCTAGTTTCGCATATGCCAGTTTACGCTACTTTTGGCGTAGACGTGATATCCGACTATCGACCGAAGGGTGGGTGTACTGCTCATCAGTCCGTTCTGTCCTCCTTTATTGCTGTGAGTGAGACCTGGCCACTGAGCGTATAAGACATGAAAACATTAGCTGTCTTTGATCATAGGTGCCTGCGTTCTATTTCCCGTGTGAAGTGGTATAATAAGGTGAGGAATATTGAGGTTAGGCTTCGAGTTCTAGGTAATAATATAATTTTTCTTGCACGTTCCCAGTGGAACATAGGGCTTCAAGCTAGTGGCTTGAATTTTCTGTAGCAGCGTTCATTTTTACAGGATGGGGTTGCTAGCCTCATTCCATATTAGTTTGATTATTAAATGTATCACACAGTGAAACAGTATTGTATACTGGATGACGTTTCGAACACAATTTATTGTTCATAATCATATCAATTTTTGTCACACGACTTCGAGATTTGATTTTTATAGTTTTCTCTGTCTTCTCCTATTTGTTGTATGGGCAGTAGAATTTTCCATATATCTGGGACAGGTGTTGAATCATTCCTATTACATGTATTTGCGGTTGACTCGATAAACAAAGCTTCTGTTATCAATCTCTCCCTATACCCTGTGACATTAGATTTTAAAACTGTCATCCTATCCCATCCTATTGTATGGTTGTGTGTAACTGCATGTAGTGCTATAGCTGAACTACTCTCTAGATTTCTTATCTTATTCGGGTCAACCAATCTAGATTTAGCTAGGTTTTTATGTTCGGCTAGTCTGACTGCCCCTGTTCTACTAGTTTGACCTATGTATTTGACCTCACAATCCTTGCAGGGTATTAGATAAACTAAATTGTTTTGTTTTAATGGCTCTACAGGATCCTTTAACCGACAAAGCTTGTTTCTAATTGAGTTTGTGGGTTTGAATGCCACTTTTATTCCTGCCTTGTTAAGAATTCTGCGTAAGGCTTCCGAGGTTCCTTCTTTGTATGGAATTATTGTTGATGATTTACATTCCTTATTGTTGGTGTCGTTATTAATATTATTATTATTATCACTATTATTATTACCATTATTATTATTGTTATTATTGTTATCCTTATTATTATTATCACTATCTCTGTTATCCTTCTTTATTTTATTTTTACATTTACTTACATATTTCTTGACTAATTTATCCGGGTAATTATTAAGTTTCAAGGCTTCTTTTATGTGTGTCACTTCCTGTCTTAGATTTTCCTTGGTACTACTTAGTTTTTGTGCTCTGTCATTTAAACATTTCACTAATCCTATTTTTACTGACATAGGATGGGATTCACTTATGAATTGGAAAATCAGGAAGGGGAACTTCCAATGTTAGATTGCAACGTAAAAAGGAAAGAAGATGGGAAGCTAAACACTAGTGTTTACAGAAAACCCACACATTCAAACAGATATTTGGATTTCCGATCATCCCATCCTATGTCAGTAAAAATAGGATTAGTGAAATGTTTAAATGACAGAGCACAAAAACTAAGTAGTACCAAGGAAAATCTAAGACAGGAAGTGACACACATAAAAGAAGCCTTGAAACTTAATAATTACCCGGATAAATTAGTCAAGAAATATGTAAGTAAATGTAAAAATAAAATAAAGAAGGATAACAGAGATAGTGATAATAATAATAAGGATAACAATAATAACAATAATAATAATGGTAATAATAATAGTGATAATAATAATAATATTAATAACGACACCAACAATAAGGAATGTAAATCATCAACAATAATTCCATACAAAGAAGGAACCTCGGAAGCCTTACGCAGAATTCTTAACAAGGCAGGAATAAAAGTGGCATTCAAACCCACAAACTCAATTAGAAACAAGCTTTGTCGGTTAAAGGATCCTGTAGAGCCATTAAAACAAAACAATTTAGTTTATCTAATACCCTGCAATGATTGTGAGGTCAAATACATAGGTCAAACTAGTAGAACAGGGGCAGTCAGACTAGCCGAACATAAAAACCTAGCTAAATCTAGATTGGTTGACCCGAATAAGATAAGAAATCTAGAGAGTAGTTCAGCTATAGCACTACATGCAGTTACACACAACCATACAATAGGATGGGATAGGATGACAGTTTTAAAATCTAATGTCACAGGGTATAGGAAGAGATTGATAACAGAAGCTTTGTTTATCGAGTCAACCGCAAATACATGTAATAGGAATGATTCAACACCTGTCCCAGATATATGGAAAATTCTACTGCCCATACAACAAATAGGAGAAGACAGAGAAAACTATAAAAATCAAATCTCGAAGTCGTGTGACAAAAATTGATATGATTATGAACAATAAATTGTGTTCGAAACGTCATCCAGTATACAATACTGTTTCACTGTGTGATACATTTAATAATCAAACTAATATGGAATTACTTAATACCACAGTGCCCAAGTTTTACACATACATTAACTTGCTAGCCTCATACCCAACCTTTACTCTTTACAAGCTTTATTTCTGGCTTAGCAAGGTAAAGGAATGCGTCGGCCGGGGATCGAACCCCGGACCATATGCATGGTCGGTAAGCGTCCTAACCACTATGCTACCGACGCCACCGAGTTCTAGGTAAGCAGGGGAAATCAATCGACGAGGTTGTGAAGTTAAATCGACTGAGATGGTTAGGGCATATGCCTAGTCATTGCCTTCCTCGACGAGCAATGTTAGCTGATATAGGGTCAGGCTGGAAGATAGCTAGCGGCGGTCAAACAAAAACATGACACCAGCCAATGAAATCTACAGCAGCTGGTCTAAGCCACGTAGGAAGGTGTAGACTTCCTGGTTGGGGTCCTCGGGACGATAAAAGCAAATGGTTGGAAACTATTGGTGACATGGCTCAAAATAGTTCTCAATGGCGCAGATGCGTCCACTCCTTGTGACTTATGATTTCCAATGAAACTGTTTTGTTCTTCGTTACTACTATTCCTTTGTCTTACACCTCTGTTTACTGTCTCTATTATGCACTTCTTCTACCGTCTTCTCTTGCTTTGTGTGCTACATGGAGTGTAGCGACTTGAACTGCCGCACATATGTGCAAAGTTCTATGTTGAAAACAGACAGACAGACAGTTGGGCTCTCCATAGCAACACTGATCTGAGGGAGGCAATCACCTTCAAACATAAACGTAACATTATTGATACATGAAAGGAACAGATCCTTTAAATAAAGCAGAGGAAATCGGGGTTAAGAAATGTATGCAGAGGTGTAATCAGACAAACTGACGGTTGTTTCGACTAAGGGTACGTTAGTAAATAAAGAATTCACATCCAAAGAATGCGTATTTTTAATTTTTAGTTTTAAACCCATCAAGGGAACTAATCACTTCAAATATACCTTTCAATACACATTTACAGGATTGCCTTTGGATTGGGTGCAATAGTTCCACTAACCACTGAGCAAGTTTATATGTTTGTGACCTACACATTGACATTATACGACGTAGACGATAGTTGAGTTTAGGGCTTTTAGGTAAACTTTACACAAGTGGAAATTTGCATTCTTTTAGTTTTACAGAGTCAAATTTGCTAATAACATTTAGACTGAAAAGTTCCAATGGGTTTGCTGTCATAATGCCTTGTAAGAGGTGAGTATCCTTTCAAGAGTCATCCTGGCTGGGTTTACTTTCCCTATCAAGGAAAGGCAATATTTATTAAACGTATGATAACTTTCATTCATGATGACAACTCCAAAACGCTTTGTTAAGTTTCTCAATCGTTTTTTAGACTTTTCTCGCATTTCTTCCAAGTCTTTGAAATGCTGGGAATCTGAAATACTTTTTGTTATGGATATTCGTTAAAGAACTGGTGAGCTATGTGCATCAGTTTAATTTAAAACCGACCCTTTCTTCTCATCTGACGTTGAGACGAAAGGTTTAAATCGTACAAGTTTTGAAATTTGGTAAAGATAGCTAAATCCGTAAAATTTACACGAGAAACACAGAATTTTGGCCCAGGGGATAAAGCTTCATTTTGAGTGAGTAGATAGTCTAGTCGGTTTTTATCGTCATTTGAATTTTTCATCTTTTATGTATTTGCTTAAGTCTTTCGGATAACATTGCTACAAAACTGAAGGAATTTGAGGTGGTGTATTATTGATAGTTCTGGTACACTATGTAAGGAACCGACATAAATTCATCAAATTCAGGTGCAGAATTATCGACGAATGCACTACCTTGGGACTTTATCAGTTACATATTCCATATCACCTATTTCCCAAATACTCACAAAAATTTAAAATTCAGTACATTATAGCCAAGTGTCTAATCTTGTTTTTCTTACATAATCACATATCGAGAATGTAAAACAAGTTACAAGAGCTACTTGCTGTTCGGACTGATGTGAACAATTTATTACTTTCCAAATCTTTACCTCATTAGCATAGAGCCAGACCGTTTAAGCAGCATAGCAAACCATTGATGAAAATCAGAAACACTGAGAGCCTTAGGACAGAACCCTGTGAAACTTTTGATGTAGACCTGTGCCAGAATGGTCGAACATGATTGGCTTTGGTACAGAATTCCCTTCCGTCTGAGTAGTCTTTCAACTATGAGATAACGGGCCACCAAAACACTCCTGAAGTATTTTGTTAGGGAAAATATCATTGTGAACAGTGTCAGGTGCCTTTGCAAAATTAACGAAAACCATGTGGCCTGGGAAATTCATATCCCGGGGTGATATCCAGTCATTCCATGTTGACAAGAGATTCCATTCATTTGAAAGCTGCCACTTACATAAATCTCCTCACTTAATTTGTTTTTTTTTAAGTAAGACATTTGTTGCACAAGATTTAGCCCTCCTAAAACCATGTTGTACTTCATGCAGTATGTTATTCTTATCAAGATGTTGCTTGATATGGCTGTCAGTCAGACTTTCCAATAGTTTCGATACCACTGGAAGTAGTGCTACTGATCTACAGCTCTTCGTGTTTTGTCGATCCTCACCTTTGAAGATAGGAGGAAGAATAGCCCTCTTCCACTTGTCTGGCAGTTTTCCTGAATCGATGGATTGTCAGACAGACCACATAAGGGCCTGCAGAGAGCCTCAGCGTGCTGTTTCAGAATAGATGGTCGAATATAATCACAACCTGGGTGCTTCTACATTTTTTCTAGAACCACTGCCAGATTAATGTGTTGTAGTGTACCCATTAGGTTTCCACTTGGTAGTTATCTGTTAAAATCTGAACTTAGTGTTTCAGCCATTTCCAGACCAGTAATATTTTGACCACTTAAACGTCTTAGGGTAGGTTTTGTTTTGCGACATGGATCATTGTAAGCTTTCAGAGTTTTCTGGCAAGATTAGCCTGAAATGACCTCTTGTTACTTCGGGCCCTTGGTTTCTATGTATGCCTCGTGGTTAATTTTATTTTGTGGAGAGTCATCATGTGAACTAGGCTTTTTGCTTAGCCTGCAGAGTACTCTGTGTGGCTCTCTTCAACCATGAAGATTGCTTTCTAGAGTATATTGTAACTAGAGAGATGGTACTTGCGGTTATCGTGCGTAAGCGTGTGATACAAGTTCTATTTGCTTTCCATGGCTTCTTAGAAATCTTAACATGTTATAGGATTACACATAGACGTCTAAGATGCTCATCTGACCAGTATTCCAAGACATATATCATAGAATAAATACAGAACATATTTTATGTGAATAAGAATGAATTTAATGCAATAGGTATAACGGAATTATTGAGATGTCACGCTTAGGTTTTATTGTAAATATATTATTACAGCAATTGCTCATTATCGAAAGACGTCAGATTATCAAAGCAAAGTAACAAAAGAAGGACAAATTCTTGCAAACATTCAAAGTGATATATGCAATACTGCGGTACATAAAAGTTGTTTATACGCATTTAACTAATGGATTTCAGTATGCATATTAACATCATGATGTTTCGATTATTTTTATTAGAAATTCACATTTCACAGTATGATTTTCATTGTGTAAACTAACTTTGCTCATGAACATTTAGTCAGTCTCTTTTTAGCTGATAGACTGAGCTGCCTTCAATTATACAGGCTTTTGCACTGAGGGCTAACTACTGACTCTCATTATAGCTTTACCTGTTCAACTTCAATTAACCAGGCTAAAAACCAAACTTACCGTGTGTATGTGTGTGTGGTGCAGGAAGGCTGATGGTACTACTATGCAGTTACTCATGTTGATGAAGTAGGTGGAGTGGGACTCGAACCCGTGATACATGGGTTGATAACCTGATGCCTGAGCCAATGAATCACATCATCTCATTAACACAGATATAGCTGAAGGCGTTAGTTACTTTTTGTTGATTTTTTTATGTAATCAGACGTATTACTTCAGTAAGTCATTTTAAGTTTATTGGTTGGAGGATTTCATCCTCAGCTGACATCAGTTAGAGAACCACTGGAAAACCCGCCGCGAGTAACAGACAACTGTTTCGTCAGCCTAGTTCGGGACTCTGCTTCAGCAGTATGCACCCACCCACCGACTGGTGTTGGAACCCAAGACCTTCTGGTTACAAGGCCAGCAAGCTCGTATATCATTAAACCACTGGGACCCGATCCAGTGGCCAATCCATGAATTCTAACTTCTACCAATTCATAACGTAGGGCGACCACTTAGCAATGTCTTCTTCAATGAGTTACTGCCGTAACCAGTAGAGCAGGTTTAAGGTGAGGCAGTAACTCATTGAAGAAGACATTGCTAAGTGGTCGCCCTACGTTATGAATTGGCAGAAGTTAGAATTCATGGATTGGCCACTGGATCGGGTCCCAGTGGTTTAATGATATACGAGCTTGCTGGCCTTGTAACCAGAAGGTCTTGGGTTCCAACACCGGTCGGTGGGTGGGTGCATACTGCTGAAGCAGAGTCCCGAACTAGGCTGACGAAACAGTTGTCTGTTACTCGCAGCGGGTTTTCCAGTGGTTCTCTAACTGATGTCAGCTCATGACGAAATCCTCCAACTAATCAAATATAATTCCCTACAAAACCAATACTTGAAAATTTCAAGTTAACACTAATAATAATACTAATAGTAATAATAATAATAACCAATAATCTAATATCTACTATAATTTGTGTTTTAAATAGTTCAATCAGTGTGATTCCAACCAAGTTACACAGATATGTTTAGAAGCATTACAAAATCTCTACTGAAAACTCTTAAGAGTGTATCGTATCGTGAAATAAATTCATCAGCAGATGATATAAATCAGGTAGGTCTAAAGAATTCACCTTATTGTTTCGATATTAATCTCTTTTTGAACTTTTAGATAGTTTTACTTGGCAGAGTTAATTCTATTCATTTAACTGAAAATTCTGACAAAGCTTATGTTTCTATCGGTTTAACAACTAAAAATACCTATAAGACTTCAAGTGGTTACTCATCTTCATATGCATATCATAAGTAAGTATAAATTTTGCATGTGTTTACTGTCTATCTCCCATTCATTCAGTGCTAAACAGCTTTTTTGTGTGTTACTGATGGATAAACCATTACTTTTGATCTAATTGTCAATCTATGGCAGCTCTTGGTATACTGTGTGCTTTTTTTTCTTCTTTTTCTTCTTCAGAATTGATGTGTTTCCTAAGGTAGCTAACGCTTCTTGTTGAAACACTTTTATTAAGTTTTCCTTTCTACATGATTCTTTTTCATTCCATCTTATATTATTATTATTGTTATTATATCCTTTAATTCCTAGAGGAACATAGGGCCTCAGCTGCTCGTCTCCATTGCGTCCGGTTCTCTACCAGAGTTTTCACCTCGCTCCAAGCCTGCACACATGCTTTCATCTTCTCTTCACATGACCTCCTCCAAGTCACCCTTGCACAACCAACTCGCCGCTTCCCTTTCGGGTTCCACTCGAGCAATGGCTTGTCTAGTGATGTCACTTGATGGTTTGTTTTCTCAGAGTATGGCCAATCCATCTCCATTTCTTCCTGCCTATTTGTTTCACAATCGGTTCCTGGTTGGTTTTCTCCCAGAGATCTCTGTTGCTCATCTTTTCTGGCCATCCGATCTTGAGTGTTGAGCGAAGATAGCTGCTAATGAAGGTCTGTAGTTTGTTTGAGATGCTCTTTATGACGCGCCAGGTCTCTGATCCGTATAGTAGTACTGACTGACTTCACATTGAAGTTGAAAATCCGGATGTTATTTTTGATGCTGAGTGCTGTTGACCTCCATACAAGCTTAGGGGTAATGAAAGCTTGTCTTGCTTTTCCGATGTTTGCTTTAATATCCTCGTTAGTTCCGTCTGTAGTTGAAACGATGCTTCCCAGATAGGTGAAGGAGGTTGTCTCTTTCAGATTCCTCCCATTTATACTGATTGTCGTCTTATATTATATCTCCTATACGTATTGTGAATGCATTGAAATAGATATTCAAACGAAAGCCTTCTTTTCATAAGTATCCTTCGTTTTTTCTACTTCTCTCGCTTGGTGTGTACTTTGGGTTTTTGGCCTAGTCTGGTTTCTGTTTAAGTGTATATAGCTGGTAATATTGAGGCAATATTCTTGTCGAGTACACACTGTCGAGAAATTCTGTGCTTTCATCTAGCGTGTGTGTTTGTCTGCGATTCACCTGACTGTATTGAAGCGTATGAAATAACCATTTTCTTTGGACTATCGTGACGAGACTTTGTGTTTTTCCCCCGCCTTCACAACAGCGGTACGATAATGATTATTTTCTAGTTATTTAAATACTCCTTTATGCATTCCACTCGGTTTTATGCGTTTAAAGATAGTGGGACAACCTAAAATGTAAGTCGTTTGGTTTAAAGATGGCATAATCTTTCTTTTTTTCTGTCTCTCTGTCTCTCCATACTTCTACTTTGTTAACCGAGATAGACCCTACTATTGATTGTAAAAGTGAGCGTTAGCAGCAGATCAAGTTCTTAATGTTACATTCAGCATTATCTGTCATCCTCTGTGTGCATTTAATTTTTGTCCCTCTGATTTCTTTTTCCAGGAGGTGGGGGGAGTTCAGGCTGAGGGTGGAAGAGTTGACCACTGATTCGAGGTTTTAGTTTGACCAGCATCCCCCTGACTCTTTTCCAATCTAATTATATATCAGCTAACATTGGTGATGAAGAGAAAGACAGTCGGTCAGCATGTGCAACATGTACTCTAGCTATCTCAGTAGATTCAGCTTCACAACTCCATTGATTGGATGATTCACCTTTCTCCTCATTCTAACACTACGCTTAACCTCAATATATTACTCAGCATATTATAAACCACACTGTGGATACAGGAGGTAAAAAGTGAACATCTGTGTTTAATCAAAAGACAACTATCTCCCACTTTTATTTCCCGTTTCTCATTAGCCATAAATGGAGGATAGTCTGAAGTGTTGCACCGTTTAATAAATGACTGAATAATGAATATATCGGTTCTACACTAGAAAGATGGCCGTTGATGTTGGCAAACCTGTTACTTAGATCCGTTTGTGTACGTATGTACTGAGATTTCGTCAAAAAGTCGGTTCATTAGTGCTGTTCAACACTTGTGAACGAAGTGTGATGTAGGCAAAACTCTCCATCCCACTTCACTTCCCAATTTAGAAATCATTAAAAGTTATTTTAAAGATAGTACCAGTTGGAACATCTATATTGCACCCTATTATAAATGATACTTTTTTGTAATTATTATTTCTATCTTCTGCCGACGCATACCTAGTATGAATGGTTGGCCTGAAAAATTTGGTCTACCGATATCACATAGTGCGTTGGTGGCACAGCGATAGAGTGCTCTCTGACCTTGTAGGTGGTCCGGGGGTTCGATACTCAGTCGACGCACTGCTTTATCTCGTTAAGCGAGTAGTAAGACTAGTAAAGAGGGAAGGTGTCGCATGAGGCGGCTAGCAACCCCACTGGGGACGTAAATTAATTAAAAAAAAGAATACTTGATACAAGGAGCGATGACAATTTATATTTTGATAATTCCCTAGTTATCTTTTAAAATTCTTTCTTTTATTATACTTTCTGCTTTTTTCTCTTTCTTTTTGACGCCCCTTGCCTTGCCTCGCCTCGCTCCTCCCCCTGCGTCGTGAAAATCACTCACAGTGTTTATGTTTTCACTTCATCATTGATTAATAAAGTTCGACATTTAATTAAAGGTGATAGACTATGCATCACTGGTTATTTAACTTCATATAAAGGCGGTGATGGTCAATGGCGTTTCTGTGTTACAGCTAATACTGTTAGTCCATATGCTATACAGTCAAGAGAGCATGATGGCGATGATGATGGTGATGATGTTATCAGAATAGAAGAAGACGATATAGACGACGAAAAAGTGGATTATAAAATGCCACCATCATACGAAGTTCAAGTCAATAGTAATAACACATATCCAGAGGATATTGATAAGAAATAACAAGATGAATCAAAGCCTGTTGTTTCATAGTGTCATCCCATCCTCCAAAGATATGACAACAAGACTGATAACAGCACTAAGTATGATTTTGACAATTGTGTATATTTCCATGCAGAATGTATATATAAAAATGCATTTATTAAACTGTTTTGTTTTGTTTTACAATATATTTTATACACTGAATCAATTACAAATAAAATAAACAAACAAATAAATATATTTCATTATTTTTATTCTTTTCAAGCTCAAGGAAATAAATAAGGAGTCTATTTAGTTAAACTGTGTATACACTGATGAGACAAATATATATTAGATGCTTCTAGTAGCAGTTTACCTCCTTTTTCGATTCGATTCCATTTTCAACTCAGCTATAGGGAATTCACACTGAGTAATACAATACAAGTAGAGGAGGAGAAGAAGAAGCATTTCGGATTGAATAGGTCACATATACACTTGTATGAAAGTATGAGGCCAGCTATTCGGCGCCCGCACCCACACCCTACCACCCTGTTGTCTAGATATAAATATCAAACAGTAGATCTACTGGTATAGACAAGCGACGACTTGTTCACATTGAAAACAGTGAATTTAGGCTTATGCTTTAACATCACGCTCATCAAACTTTTGCAAATCAATATTAACTTAAAGATGCATATATGTATACATATTCATGGGAATCTTAAAAAGAAGTTATTACGTAGGATACTTTTCTTTGACTTATGATAAAAATACCTGTCAATTTTAGATAGGAGCATCAATAGAGTAATGTAACCATATTGTGTGCTTGTAATTATCTATGTCTTCTAATTCTAAGGTGAAAAGAAGTATCCGCCACATCCTCCTCCAAACTAACTCTAGCCTAACTCGAGCCACTCTTAATGTCATCAACCTCATTAGGTTAACCTCCTAACCCTAACCTGTCCTTACCGTAAACCTTAGCTTAATCTTTCTCAATCCTAATCTGAAACTTATCAGATATCCTATTTATTTAAGAATAACACTTCATTAGGCATGATTTTTTTCATGATTACAATGCTATTTATCAAGTTTCATTCACTGTATGCTTACTAAGCGTTTCAAAGTCATTGCTATAGTCGCACTCCACTGGTACTCACTTACTGGTGTCTAAAGTTTAATTTGACCCACAGAAATCTCTGTTTTTGTAACTCCTCTCTCCAGAGCTGGTTGGAAAACTTTTTTTCTGAACACAGAGTTCATGTGTTTTGTTTTTATGAATAGTAAGAGTTTTGACTGTTTGAAGACGATGTAAGCAGTATTGTTTTGACTGGCTGTTTATTTTACCTTCTATATACCTTTCAATGAAGTCTCTGAAGATGATACATGACCATAGGCGATAGTTTTTCATAGAATTAATCTGATGACTACTATCCTAAATTCTTCTTTAGACAGCCAGATGCTCGTCAACGTTTCTGGACAATGATTCGAAAGCTAAAAAATTGCTTCACTTCTTTAGAAGCTGTAGGTTTGTAGGAATTCTATTAGTTTCAGGGTTAGATCACGGATTGATATCAGTTAGAGAACCGTTGAAAACTAACAAATAGTACTGGACAGCTGTTTCGTCATCCTAGTGTGGGAATCATCGGTAGTACGCACTCATCATAGGAGTTGGAATCCAAGGCCTTCCGATTACAAGGCAAGCTGGCATACCATTCAGCTATTGGGACCTGATTCAATAGCCAACCAGCCAGCCCATGAATTCTAATTTCATCCTGTGCTTCCCGAGTGGCGCATCGAGTTTCAAGGTGTGATATTTGGTTAGAAGTGGTGATGTTATTATGGGGTGCCGTCGCTAGCCTCACACTCAACCTTCTTTCTTTCCAGGGCTTATTATTAGTCAGTAAGCTAGATGAAGTTTAAGTGTGTCGGTGGGGGTCGAAACCGGACCACGCGCATGGTTGGCGAGCATTCCATCACTTATCTCGACGACTGCTCGCAAGTTTTCATTACCTCCTGTCAAATTTTTCATGAGATCCTCGAACTGTCAAACTGTCGCTTCTCAATCGGGTTCCACTGAACCGCCTGACGGTTATGTAATGTTACTTGAATGTCTCCTTGGTGTGTTCATTCCATTTCCTTCTGCACAATTGTTGGGCAACGGCCAGTCTTTTAATTACACTCAATGATCGGTGTCATGTGATAGTTGTCAGTCTACAAGAAGCAGAAAACATCAACTCTGCTTGAACTTCTTTCTGACTGATTTCTAACCCGGTGTATAAAAAATAAAGCTGTACTACTGAACATAGAGATGATGAATTACAACTTCGTACCTTGGCGGTAGATTCTTGGACCTGGACGACAATATCCGTTACTAATTTTCTACAGTATCGTGTATTCTATGGAACAAAAAATCTGTTCTTGGTAATTATGGTAGTACTTAATTCCGACTGCATATACGAAGCTTGGTGTGTGTAGAAGGGGATGGAAGTTTCTAACGCTTAGGTTTTTCTACCAACATTCATATTGTCATTCAGTCTGTCGATCAGAATGTAGCTGACTCATCGCATCACAGCTGTGCAATAATATTTCAGGAAATCAGTCCATTATTTACAACCAGAGAATTAATCTTCATCTTTTAGACTAAACTAGTTCATTCCAAAATGTGAGTGAATTAGTGATAAGAGACTTCAATATTTAGGTTTACCGAAGATAAGTAATTATAATAATAATAAATAAATAACAAAGCACAGGTAATTTAATCAAGTTGACAGTAGATACTTATAAACAGCTTCAAATGGTAATAATATATTGTCAACACTGACAGATAATGATAAATGTTCCGTAGAATGGTAATAAACTCATTATCATATCTAATAATCTAACACCTGGTCTTGTGTCTGGTTCTTAGAGGACGGTTGTAATAAATAGCCTTATAAGAAGTATGACACAGTCAATTTATGTCCAGTGGATGTGTAAATTTATCATAAAATTAAGGGTAAATGTTAAGGAAAAAGAACCATGCATATTTTCAAAGTCGATTACGTCATAAGCTCATAATGATTAATTAAATTCGATTTCACCACAGATGTACCCTAAATGTTGACTTCAGTGACTAGGGGTTTGACTTATTACCATCGAGGAATAATGTCGTTGACTTCGAATGTGCAGATGATATATATAGGTGAAGACGCTGACAAAATACTGAACTACATTAACTCACTCCAAGCTTAGAAATAGGGAGTAAAGTGGCTGAGCGTGTTGACCACCTCACTCATTTGGGAAGCTGCATTAGCCAACGCCAGCGGGTTGACCGCTGACGCAATTTCAGCACCGGATACAGAAGGCTGGTTTCGCCTATGCCAGTTTACGACATCTCTGGCGTAGATGTGACTTCCGGCTATCGACCAGAAGGTGTGTGTACTGCTCATCAGTCCACTCCATCCTCGCTTATGGATGTGAGTGAGATATGGCCATTGAAAGTGGAAGACATGAAAAGACTAGCTAGCTGTCTTTGATCTTAGTTGCCTGCGTTCTATCTCCTGTGTGAAGCGGTATAATTGGGGGTGGGGGGGTGGGGAGGATCAATATTGATGTTAGGCATCGGTAGAGTGCTAGGTAGGTGGGAGGGGAAATCAATAGACGAGGATGTGAAGTTACGTCGACTGAATGGGTTAGGGTATGTGTTACGCAAGCATGCCTAGCCATCGCCTTTCTCGACGACGGGCTATGTTAACTAACTGAAAAAGCGATGGATTGGTCTGGAAAAAAGCCAGTGGTGGTGGTCGAATCGAAATATGGCTTCATCAGTCAGTGAAATCCACAACGTCGGGAGGTTTGGACTTCCAGCTTGGGGTGCTCCGGACGGTAAAATCCAATAACGACTGGAGACAATTGGTGATATGGCTAAAAAATAGTTTTCAGTGACGTAGATGCATCCACTTGTTTTGATTCATATTATCCCAAATTGAGTCGTAAAAGAAAGGGGGTAAATTATTATTATTATTATTATTGTATCCTTTAGTTCCTAGAGGAACATAGGGCTTCAGCTGCGCACCTCCATTGACTTCGGTAAATAGCTAATGAAATTTTCTTTTCGAGGATTCATTTTCATGAGCTGTACAATTGTAATTATATTTAAGTTAGATAACCTTACACCAATCAGATATTGGTTAACTGTGTCCTCGAAAAATGTATTACCTAATGTAAGGTGAAAGAAGAGATGACTAATTATAAATTAGAAAAGAAGCAGACGTTGGCGTGATGTCATAAGTGTGAGATAATGACTAATCAATAAGCTAGTGTAGAATGGACAGGAACTAGTGGAAAGGCGCTTAAGTGTCTTTATATCAAATCCAAATGGAAAAGCAATGTCTTTAATAAACAGTAATAGAGTGGTAATAAAATATGTATGAAGTGAATAATAATGATAATAATATAATAGTAGTAATAACAATAATAATAGTGAACTTACATAATAAAAAAACCTCGCCAGATTATTAGCTTCCCAGTTTTCTAGCCTGTCCCAAGCCCGGGTAAAGAGGGAGGGTTGGAGCGTGGTGCTAGCAACTCCACCCCTGTAAAACAACCAAACCGCTACAGAAACTTCAACGAATAAATATATTAAAAATTCTAAAAATATAAACAATAGCCTTATTTTTCGCTGGAATCAGGGAAGTGAAATGACGCAGGCTGGTGAAAGCCTTCGGGAAGCCAGTCAGCCGATGTGCCTTCTTTCGATGAAAGCAAAAGTAAGGATGGGTACCTGGAATGTTTGTACAATGTACGAAACTGGAAAGGCTGCCCAGATAGCCGCTGAAATGAGGAGGTATAGAATAGAAGTGTTGGGAATCTGCGAGAGCAGATGGAACGGAACTGGAAGGTGCCAACTACCAACTGGAGAGACAATAATCCATTCCGGCCACCCAGAGGACAACCATGAGCACACCGAGGGAGTGGCCATCATGATGTCACCAACAACAGCCAAAGCTCTCATGCAGTGGGAACCAATCTCCTCCAGGATAATGACAGCCAGGTTCAACTCAAAAGGAAGGAAAGTTACAGTCATTCAATGCTATGCGCCTACAAACGTCTCAGAACAAGAGAAGAAGGAGGCGTTCTACAGACAACTACAAGCAATAATGGACAACGTCCCAAATGGCGATATCAAAATCCTGATGGGCGACATGAATGCGAAGCTGGGAGGAGACAACACAGGAAGAGAACTCACCATGGGTCGAGAGGCCCTCGGTGAAATGAA